GCTAATTTTTTTGTATTTTTAGTAGAGACGGGGTTTCACCATGTTGACCAGGATAGTCTCGATCTCTTGACCTCGTGATCCACCCGCCTCAGCCTCCCAAAGTGCTGGGATTACTGGCTTGAGCCACCGCACCCGGCAAAACTTTATAATTTTATATTTAACTTCATAGTTTCTGGAAAACCTCCTTGATATAGTCTATATATGCATATGCATATAGTTCAAATTCACACTGTTAAATTTAGGTGCTAGTAAGAGTACTTGTAAGACAAAAAGTGCTGGCTGGGTGCGGTGGCTCAGGCTTGTAATCCCAGCATTCTGGGAGGCCAAGGCAGAAGGATTACTTGAGCCCAGGAGTTAAGACCAGCCTGGGCAACATGTCGAAACTCCACCTCTACAAAAAAATACAAAAGAAAAAAAATTAGTGGGGCGTGGTGGTGTGTGCCAGTCGTCCCAGGTACTCGGGAGGCTGAGGTGGGAGGATGGCTTGAGCCTGAGAGGCGGAGGCTGCAGTAAGCCGTGATCATGCCACAGTCTGGGTGACGGAGTGAAATCCTGTCTCAAAAAAAAAAGTCCCCAGTTCAGCAGACGACAGTGCACTACAGTGTAGCAAACTGGGGGTGAGGAAAGGTTTCCCAAAGGAGGTGAGGCCTGTGTAACCAAGACGGGCACAAAGGAAAGGAAGTGAGTGCAAACTTGGACTGTGTGGGAAACTGCCAGAAGTCCAGCATGTCTGGGGCACAGTGCAGAGGCCAGCGTGGTAAGAGGCGAGGCGGAGCCAGGCTGGAGGTGCACGGAGCAACTAAATTACAGACAGCCTCGGAAGCTGTGGTTATGAGATTGGATTTTATCCTCAGGGCAATCAGAAGTCACTTTCAAACAGGAGAATGACAAAGCCAGGCACAGTGGCTCACGCCTGCTGTGATCCTAGCACCAGCCTTGCCAACACAGCAGGACCTCTACTAAAAACTTAAAAAGAAAAAATTAGCTGGGTGTGGCAGCGCATGTCTGTATTCCCAGCTACTCAAGAGGCTGAGGTGGGAGGATCACCTGGACCTAGAAGTTAGGGGCTGCAGTGAGCCATGATCATGCCACCGCGCTCCAGCCTGGACCATGGATCGAGACTCGCATTCAAAAAAAAAAAAAAAAGGCAGGAGAGTGACAAGATCATTTTGACTCTGGCTTCAAGATGGAGAATGGGTGCTGGGAGAGGATAGACATGAGCTGGCAGTCCAGATGGCAAGCTTGGGAAGTAGCACTTGTGATGAGGGGGACAGGTAGAGGAGATGCTAAATTAGTACCTGCAGGCTGAGAGGATGTGAGAGAGGAAGAGAGGGTGAGGAAGGGGGTTGCTACTGCCTTCCTCCCCTCATTACCGTCATTTTGTCACTAACCCCTTTTCTCTGCCCCAGTGGCTTCCAGCTGGACAGTCCCTTCTAGGAATCTCTGATGGGAGTTCACCCCCAACCCTGCTCTTCCCCCCACTTTTGCCTCAGTCCTGAGAACTTCCCATCCTTCCTGTCCTGCAGACAGTTCCTGGCTAACTCTCCATCATGCCAGGCTGGCTCACCCTCCCCGCGCTCTGCTGTTTCCTGCTCCTTTGGGCCGTCACCGTCTTCCATAAAGCCCAAGGAGACCCAGGTAAGACCCCAGCCCAGGCCAGACTCTGAGGAAGGCTTGCGGAGACTGCAAGGGTGGGGAAAGGGGAAAGGGCAGCTGTTGCAGGTACCCACGGAGTGAAAGTCATTGCTGAGAAGGCAATGAGGAGAGGGTTGGGGGGCTCTGGAGAAAGCATTTAGGGAGCAGGATCTGATGGGCACTTGGGGCAGTGAGGATCAAGGGGTTCCTGCCACTGTGGCCCCCTCTGCTCAGCATCCCACCCCGGCCCCCACTACCTCCTGCCCCCCATCCACGAGGTCATTCACTCTCATCGTGGGGCCACGGCCACGCTGCCCTGCGTCCTGGGCACCTCGCCTCCCAGCTACAAGGTGCGCTGGAGCAAGGTGGAGCCCGGGGAGCTCCGGGAAACGCTGATCCTCGTCACCAACGGACTGCAAGCCCGGGGGTACGGGCCCCTGGGAGGGCGCGCCAGGATGCGGAGGGGGCATCGGCTAGACGCCTCCCTGGTCATCGCGGGCGTGCGCCTGGAAGACGAGGGCCGGTACCGCTGCGAGCTCATCAACGGCATTGAGGACGAGAGCGTGGCGCTGACCCTGAGCCTGGAGGGTGAGGCCCTTCCGCTCCCGCCCCATTCCTCTCTAGCAGGCGGGGCCTCCTCGCCTGGGGTCTCCCAGGGCTCCTTCCCAGTATCTCCCTCGCACCTCCGGGGACCCCAGCTCCCTCTCCCAGGCCGCACTGCCCTTCCTACCCCTCCACCATCGTCTGCTGGCCCTCCCCAGCCTCCCCGCCACCTCCTAGGTGTGGTGTTTCCGTACCAACCCAGCCGGGGCCGGTACCAGTTCAATTACTACGAGGCGAAGCAGGCGTGCGAGGAGCAGGACGGACGCCTGGCCACCTACTCCCAGCTCTACCAGGGTGAGCGGCCGAACCCAGCACCGCCCAGGCCCCGCCGAGCTGTCACAGGGGCCCGACAGAGGGCGCCAGGCGAGCTCAGTCTGGCTCCTGCCTGGAACGCCTCTCATCCCCGACCCCCGCCGTCTCCCGCCAGCGTGGACCGAGGGTCTGGACTGGTGCAACGCGGGCTGGCTGCTCGAGGGCTCCGTGCGCTACCCTGTGCTCACCGCGCGCGCCCCGTGCGGCGGCCGAGGCAGGCCCGGGATCCGCAGCTACGGGCCCCGCGACCTGATGCGCGACCGCTACGACGCCTTCTGCTTCACCTCGGTGCTGGCGGGTGAGGGGAGGGGCGAAGACAGGATCTTGGGGCGGGGTCTGAAAAGTGTAGGGGGCGGGGAGTGGACCTCAGCGTGAGATTAGGGCAGGGTCTCCGTGTCCCTCCAAGGCACCGCCCCTCCATCAGCCCGCGCTCCCGCCCAGGTTCCAGACCACCTCTCCAAACCCTCCCGGCACTTCTGCCTCCATCCCCCTACTCCTGGTACTCAAGCCCGATCCCGCCCCTCTGCGGCCGGCGCCCCAACTCCGCCGCCTGGGAGTCAGGCTCCCTGCCCCGCCCTGCCCACCCTGCTCTCGGTCGGTGACCCTCTGTGATCCCTAGGCCAAGTGTTCTTCGTGCCCGGGCGGCTGACGCTGTCTGAAGCCCACGCGGCGTGCCGGCGACGCGGCGCCGTGGTGGCCAAGGTCGGGCACCTCTACGCAGCCTGGAAGTTCTCGGGGCTAGACCAGTGCGACGGCGGCTGGCTGGCTGACGGCAGCGTGCGCTTCCCCATCACCACGCCGCGGCCGCGCTGCGGGGGGCTTCCCGATCCCGGAGTGCGCAGCTTCGGCTTCCCCAGGCCCCAGCAGGCAGCCTACGGGACCTACTGCTACGCCGAGAATTAGTGTCACCGTGTCCTCTCCAGCGCGCCCGAAAAAGCGTGGGAGTCGTAGCTGGGTTCGCTCGCCACCCCTTTCCGGAGCTCCAGACCGGGAGCGGCCTCTGCAGACCTGCCTTTCCAGCGGGTGCTGCGGGCCCCGGACTCCGGCTGGCCCGGCGACGTGAAGGGGAAGCGGGTGCGCCCCCGGCGGCGAGGTGCGGCGGTGACCCTCGGACCCGCTGAGGTTCGCGCGCCCCCGCAGTGGGCTCAGCCGCCGGTGGGCGGGAGGGGAGGCCGGGGGTATTAACGGCAATAAAATAACCTGGGGACCTTTTGTGTTGGACGGAGCTGTAAGCGCTGCGAGGCGTGGATGTGTGTGTGAGTGTGCGTGTGTGCGTGCCTGGGCTGATGACGCGGGACCCTGCGTGGCCACTGAGCGCCTAAGACAGAGTAAGGGACGGGGCTGTTGACGTTACGAGGTGGGTCAGTGCAAGGGCAGGAGTGCGGCCGGAGGGCATCCATAGGCCAAGGGAGAGGGAGAGATGGAGACGTCGTGGGCGCCTGGCCGGGACCCACGCGGGAGAACCGTGGATGTTGTTGCGCCAGGCGCCACGCGGGGGCGCTGCACACGCACCTAAGATTAGTTCAAACCTGCCAGGGGCGCCCCATGCCCCCAGGCCTACCCTGCGTGCCCAGATAACAAATAGACAACTAACATATTTCAAAATGTGCAGCAGCCTGCAGACCTTCCTGAAGCGTTTGCGGGGACTACTATTAAAGATAGAAAAGTGATACTGTTGTTAGAATTGACAGGAAATTAACCCTGCGGAAGGAGGAGGCAAACACCAAACACCAGGACCACCAAAGCAAAGGGGGAACTGGACAAGGAACATTCTCCACCGTGGCTACAGGAAACATAACAGCAATTCAAGAGACAAGTTCTAATGTTATTATTAATTCACTTTTCATATATAGATTGGTGTGTATATACATTGGTTTCTAACTATACTACAAAAAGCCTGAGCTAGATAATAGTAATGAATGGGGCAAAGGGTATGCACACTCTAATGGTGCTTGATATGTGTTGCAAAATTGATTTCCAAGGGGGTTCTTGCTATAATTGCTAAAGAGACCAGCCTGTCCAATACAGTGAAACCCCTTCTCTGCAGAGAATGATAGAATGAACACCATCTTCAATAACCATCATGCAGCAAATGAGGTATTCGTGCTATTTCCTAAACCTTGGTTTTCTCATCTTGGTGTGGGATAATAGTTTTTGTCTTTTGTGATTGCAGTCAGTTGAGGCATTGCATGTACTGGGCAGTACATGCCTAGTACACATAATGGGCACTCAAGTGGTACCTATAATAATTAATAATTATTGTGATGATGGTAATATGGCAACAACAGTAATTTTTCAGCTTCTTGCCAGGCAGCCTGGAGGACTGGTTGTTGTATGGCACTACATTAGCCAAGATCAGATAGATTATTCTGTGATAACAAACAACTCCCAAATCTCAGATAACAAATGTAAGATGACCTAAACATTTCAAAATGTGCAGCCTGCCGACCTCCCAGAAGGGTTTGCAGGGACTACTACCAAAGACAGGAAAGTCGGGTGGGCAGAGTGGTTTACACCTATAATTCCAACACTGTGGGAGGCTGAAGTGGGTGGATCTTTTGAGGTCAGGAGTTCGAGACCAGCCTGACCAGCATGGTGAAACCCCGTCTCTACTTTAAAAATACAAAAATTAGCTGGGTGTGGTGACAGGGGCCTGTAATCCCAGCTACTTGGGAGGTTGAGGCAAGAGAATTGCTTGAACCCGGGAGGTGGAGGTTGCAGTGAGCCGAGATCACACCATGCACTCCAGCCTGGACAACAGGGCTAGAGTCTGTCTCTAAATAAATAAATAAATAAATAAGGTTTATTTTTCACTCAGGCTACATGTGCATCGTGGTCAAGAAGGGAGTTCTCATTTTTGTGATTCAGGAACACAGGCGGATACAGCAACCACCATCTCGAATACTGTCAATCACCACATCAGAAAGAAAAAATAAAAAGAGCTCTGCAGGGTTTCACAAACGCAATTAATAGCCCCCACCCAGAAGCGACACCTGTCCCTTCAGTTCACAGCTCATTTGCCAGAACTAATCACATGGCTCCACCCAACCACAAGGGGGCAAAAAAGAGCAATCCTTCTTTGGCCTAGAAATAGAGAAACTGCAAATATTTGATAACAGCATCCGTGTCCACCACAAGCACCAAGGAGAGCAGTCTAGACTCTGGAACATATTGGTAGTCACCCATCCATCTACCCCTTTCCCGGGTTTTCTAAGCGATGGTCTATGATGAAGTCAGAGCCCCAGAAAGCTAAGATACTGGACCCCAGCAGCTCAGCCAGCAGGAGGTTGGCTTTTCTTCAGTGTAATGTCTTCAGCCCA